ATTTCTAAACTTACCTCTATAGTTGTCATATTTTTAGAGATGAGGAACACATGCCAACCAAAGAGAGTACCAAATGCTAAGCTCAATGAAACCATCAATATCCCACAAGCAACCTAGAGCGTATAAACTTTTTTAAAAATCTTCAGAAAGCATAATTTTAACATTAAGACAGTAGAAGGAAAAGGTGTTGGTAAAGCTAAATTCTGAACGTGGCAAGACTGCATAACAACATGACATGAAGTTTAACAACTTAAACAATTACAGAAATCAGCAAGCAGACTACCAGAGTTAACTTGATTGATAGAACAAAACACTCACCAGCAAGCATTCCATTCCACAGAACAGCATAATTTTAATCATAGATAAATAATTAAACAAACATATAAAAAGATGGTGAAGGAGGAGAAATCTAAAAAGTAGTAAGAACACTAAAACAACCATAAAATCTCTGCTGATCTCTTTGATTCAACCAAATCCTACACATAATTTCAAAAAAAAACAAATCAAGGTGTTATAGAAATCCCAAAACAACCATAAAATTTCTGCTGATCTCTTTGATTCAACCAAATCCTACACATAATTTCAAAAAAAAAATCAAGGTGTTATAGAAATCATTTTGCTCCCGCAACAAATTGAAAGATCTAAAGCCCTTTAACATACCTTTAATAAACTTTTGGTTCACAAGGCTGCATTACAAACTAAACAAGAATATTTACTCTCTTTATTAATCTACAAAAACCAGGAGAATTCAGAATGACCTATGTTGCTTGCAAGTTCTGCCTAATGGCCAACAGCCCCAGCATGATTTGCCTGCTAAAACAAAGAACAAGAGGAATTCTGTGATTGCCATCAATCCTAGACTAAGCTTTCCTTTATGTCACCTAATCATACATCACAAGGTTCATGTTACACATATTCCTTCCTGTCCAGCTTCCCAAATCTCTCACCATAAAATCGAAACCCTTAATATGTGGAAACAGTAAATGGAATTGGGGGCTTGAATTCTGCTTCAGGATTAATTAATAGATATTAGTGTAATGTGTGGCAGAGACAGTTTGGATTGATCTTCCAAAGCCTTCTTGCATTCAACAGAGTAATAACCACACCGTGATGCACCAACTTTAGGAGATGAATTTAAAATTTGCAACAAAAATGCCTTTACACTCAGTAAGATTGCACAAAATTGAGACCGTGGACAAGATAAAAAGCTGCACAGCTTAATTCCTCTACTCTCCAATTTGGAGAGAAATTAGAATTCCCTCATATTTAATTCTACAAAAAAGGGTCCCGAGAGAAAAGATTCTGACTTACACAAACTTGGAATTCCAGCACATCTCTGATCCTAGGAAACCAATAGAATATACAGAGAAACTAATCTTATAAACTAAATCCGACTGCAACCAGGTATTTTTCTAACTCCCCTCTCTTTCATTTCCTTTCTCACAAGAGAAACATCCAGCCAGCGGTCTGCTGCTGCATAGATGTCGGATAAAAGCACAAAACTACCGGCATTTAGTGGCTCAAGCTCAAAAAGCCTTTTGGCAACTAACTCCCCTAACTCAACATCACAATGTAACTTACAGGCCCCAAGTAGTGCACCCCAAGCACCTTCATGAGGTTCCACAGGCATTGAATTTAAAAGCTCATATGCTTCTTTTAAGTGTCCTGTCCTGCTGAGAAGATCAACCATACATGCATAATGATCAGGAGAAGCAACAATAGAGTACACACTTTGCATGGATTCAAAGTAATGCAAACCCTCCTCCACAAGGCCAGCATGGCTACAAGCAGTCAAAATGATCGTGAAGGCCACCTCATCAGGAATCAACCCTTCACTTATCATCTTATTGAAGAGGAAGACAGCCTGTGTGCCATGACCATGAATCGACAATCCTTGTATCATTGAACAATATGAAATTAGGTCTCTATTAGACATAGCTTCAAACAGTTCTTCCGCTCTATCCATGTTCCCACACTTTGCGTTCATGTCTATAAGAGAGGCAATAACATGACCTCGACTAAGATCCAACTCACTCCTACTCAAATAAAAATCAACCCACTCGGCTAATTCCAAACTACCCAGTTGAGAACATGCGGACATCAAGCTCACCATTATAAACTCATCCGGCTTAACATCTTTAAAATACATTTCATAAAAAATCTTCACAGCCTCATCAGGCTGACCATTCTGTGCATACCCTGTTATCAATGCCGAACACGCAACAATATCCCTATCCGGAGCTTCCTCAAACAACAATCTAGCTGACGCCATATCACCTGATTTTGCATAACCATCAATCATCGTTGTGTAAGAAATCACATTTCTTTCAGGCATTTCATCGAACAGTTTCCTAGAACTGCTCATATCACCTATCTTAACTAGCCCGCCAATCAACGCATTCCACGACACTATATTCCTCTCCGGCATTAAATCAAACATCTTCTTCCCTTCTGCTAAATCACCAACAATCACATACCCGACAACCATCGCCGTCCAAGAAACAACGTTTCTGTTCGTCATTTCATCGAACACCTTGCGGGCACACTCAATCTCCTTACATTTACCATACAGGTCAATCAAACTAGTACACACAAAAACATCATCATCTAATCCTAACCTAATCACAGCCCCATGAATCGCAGTTCCTCCTCTTAAAATAAGTTCACTCGAACAAGCCTTAATTACCAATGGAAACGTATATATATCAGGTACTCCACCCTCCCTAATCATTCGAATAAAATACTTTAAAATGTCGATAAAACAACCCCTCTGGGAATACCCTTTTAAAAGGGTATTCCAAAGAAAGGTACTGGGAGTGATAATTTGATTAAAAATGGAGGTGGAGTATGAGAGAGAGGTGCCAAGTGAGTGACAAAGAGAAATAAAATGGGAGATAAGTGAGTGGTCTTGTTGAAGGCCCTTTTTGATAAGGTGAGAGTGTACTTGGTGAAGATGAGTTCGAAGTTTGGATGTTTTTAAGAGAGTTATGATGGAAGGGAGAGAACAGGATTTTGTGATAGCGATTTTAATTGGCCGTGGTGAGAAGGCAGGCATGGAAATTAACCCGAAATGTCTAAGGATACATGAAAAATAGGAAGGATTTTATATGACATCTTTTATGGAGCAACCGAGTTCCCACCCGAGGTTTAGCGAAATAGCAAGTTCCCACCCCTGGTTTCATATATTCCACATTCCCACCCTTAAATTAATGCCATTAGTGATTGTTCTGACACAAATGCATAGAGTATTATTACTAAACTACCCTCTTAAATTCTCCTTCTTCATCTCCCCCTCCTCCTCCCATTTTCTTCTTCTTCACCTCCCCCTCCTGTTCCCATCTTCATGCCTTCTCATTCCAGTCAAACCACCACCATAGACGACCAAACCACCCTATTTCAAACCCAACCAAAAAAAAAAAAACACAAAAATACTTCGAAATCAAGCACAATCAACCTCCAATCAATCCCAAACCCATAAACTCCTTGCAAAACCCTAAATCGACCTCCAATTAAACTCAATTTTCACCAAAATGCAAAACCCTAAGGGAAGTGACGGACGGCAAACAACGAGCAACCAAGATCGAGGCTGTTGGGGGTTTTTGAGGTGGGATGCCAATGAAGCTATTAGTGGTTATGGGGTTGATTTCTGACGCCAAGAGCAACCAAAATTTTGCTAGAAGCGTAAAATCGACGAAGGGTGATGGTCGACGATTGGTGAGAGGGGGTGGGTGGGGGTTTGAAGTGGAGCTTAAGGGGAAGATGATGGTAGCGTTGGAGCAACCCAATAGTGCCGAAATCAGGCTGGATTGGCCAGAAAACGACAACGGTGTTAGAGGTGGTGAGACGAGGAAAACAGCACAAACAGGCCCAGTTTGTGGGCGACACAACTGTTCGTGCGAGGAAATAGGCCCATCGCATCAGATCTTGGGTGGATCTGGTACGATCGGGAATGCAGGTGGAGGTGGAGAGGAGGGAGAGAGAAACTTGCGCGCGATTGCTATTGTGATTTTTCTAGGTTTTTTTCTTTTGATTTCGTTGATTGATTGTTTGGTTGTGTGAGGAAGTTTGATTGTTTAGTTGAAGGTGATGAATCTTGTCGATTTGGGTGAGAAATCTAGTAGGAATCCATAGAAAACGATCGGCAACAGCACCAGAAATAGTAGTGAGTTGAGAGAGGGTGAATGAGATCTGAGATTTGGAATGACCATTTTACCCTTTAACCACATTAAACAATTTTCTGTTAATTTAAAGGTGAGAATCTAGAATCTATGAAACTAGGGGTGGGAACTTGCCATTTCTCTAAACCTTGGGTGGGAACATGTCGTTTGCTCTCTCATGCCTCTTTCACGATAAGTATATTTTATAAAGTTGTCTTAGGTCACTGGGTCCCGGGTTGGTTGGGTGAACCGGTCTGACTATCAGGTCGAACCGTGACGTCATCATATTGACATCAGCATGACATCATCGTGCTAACGTCAGAAAACAAATAAAAATTTAAAAAAAGCATATTATTAACACTAATAATTAATAAACTTTGGTAACAAATTCAGCCAAATTTGAAATGAAATTAACACTACAAAGTATACATTTATAAACTATAAACAGCACAATGAAACCAAATCCTATATTCCTATTACATTTCCATGCCAAGTCAAGGCTGATTTTAGGCATTAGATCTAGAGGCAAAATTACTTATATCATGATCATCTTCGTCATCGTCATCGTCATCATCATCGTCATCATCAGCATAACCAACATCAACAAAAGATTTCAGGCGAAAATAAAATTGTATGTTAATATTTTTTATTGTAAACTAAATTGACTAATGTAATATAAATTTTAAAACACTAAATTAACTAATGTAAGCTAAATTAAATAACATAAAGGAAAGTTATAAGTTAGAACCTTCGGAAGCTTCTATAGAATCATAATAGGAAGGGTGATCACTAGGACCAATAGGAATAAATCCCTCTTCATAAAGTGCTTGTTCCAAATCCTCATAATTAAGCTCAGCATCCTCCCCTTCATCATCAACCACCCAAAACTTAGTCTTGTTGATACTCACATAATCACTAGGATCGAAACTAGTTTTCTTGTAACTGATCCTGGAAGACCATTTTTAACTATTAAAATTTAAAATTTAAAAGCATGACAAATAACTCATTTTGGAAGATCAAGGAAAATAAGAATAATAAGAAAATGAATAAGGTGTAATCAACAATGTTTTATATCTGTTTTTCAACCGTAAGTTATCATAAACAAAGACAAGATCATTCAATCGTTGACGCTCCAATCTATTCCTTGTGTTTTAATGTATGCGCTAAAAAACACTCCAATTTCGCTCACACCCTGAAGAGGTTGAAGTTTGGCTGAGAATTTTGATTGCAAACTTTTGTAAATTTGGAATACTGTACCTATATGTTTTCAACCATTCATCTAATTGAAAATTAGACACAAGAAAAAACATTATTTCATAACGTGAAAGTCAAACTTAAACTCATAACTTAAATAACTATTACATAATACATATCAGGTCATGTGGTTTTACATGTTTGAATTGCAAGTTCCCAAGAAAAGCTCCCCTCGCGGTCTCAAAATATTATACTCTCTTCCACCAACTTAGCCTTCTTTAATTTGAATGAACAAGCCTTATTCTCAACAACATCAAAGAAACCACATTGAACCTCCGGTTTGGCGCTAAATGTAGGATCATATTGGAAAGCCTGATTTAAAAAATAAGCTACAGCATGAATATCATCCTATACCAACGCAACTTAATAATGCTTGTGTAAGACTTGTATAATCTCTTCTTATTCTTAACAACTTCTTGATCCCCAACCTTGTTCTATAGATGCCATCATACAAATATCCTATGGTAGGTTTCTCATCTAAGTCTACAATCCTTAGCATGCACACCAATGGAGCCCCAACTTTGGAAACTTTACACATTTGATCCCAGAATTTATTATCTAGAATTATGGGAATAACTTCCTTACCTTTATGACTTTTTGCATATCTAGAATCCACAAAGAATCTATCTATTACCATTGCTTGCAAGTCATGTTTGTGATCCAGTAGGCTTCTCAACGCAATGAAAGTTATAGCAAAAGTGGTTGCGCTCGGGCGTACAATTTCCATCTAACCCTGTTCAAGTTACAGATATAGATGTTAGTAAAGTTGTTTTCTTGATGATAACTAATATGTTATGACTGATGGTTTCACAGGAAAATAAGCTAAAAGATACATTACTTGTCTTTTCCATAGCCATGCTATCAATAATGTATGATTATACACAAACTTTATCATGGCAGATGCACGTTTCACAAGGCTAGCTATGTGATCTATCTCACCTATATCCTTTAACATCAAGTTCATGCAATGTGCTGCACAAGGCGACCAAGTTATGCTCTTATATTTCCCAACCAACATTCTTCCAATTGCTTTATAATTTGCTCTATTGTTGATGACAAGATGGACAATATTATTTGGTCCAACCCATAAAACCAATTCCTTAAGGAAGGTGAACAATGTCCTAGCATCCTTCATAGCATTAAAAGCATCCATTGACCTTACAAAGCAATCTCCTTTAGGCCAATACACAAAAAAATTAATCAATGACCTTTGAGAATTATCAGTCCAACCATCAGCTGTTAATGTACATCCAACATCTTCCCACGTTTGCCTATAACTATCCATAAGTAGCTGCACTTCCTTGTTAGCATCTCTCAATAAATTAACTCTCATAGCATGATAAGTTAGGTTACCTAGGATCCGTTGCAGTTATAGCATCCGCCAAAGGCTGAAGATAAATTGAATTTATTGCATTGATAGGGATGTATACATCATAAATAAACCTTGGAAAAGCCAAATCCGCTCTCCACATAGCTTCTTTCCCAGCCAAAACACTCTTAATTGATGGCTGAGACCCAAGAATAGTCCTTGAAGCAAAGTAGTCACTAATCCCAATTGGACTATTTCTATTAGTGCTTGTACGTGGTTTTTTACCACCAAAAGCACATGCATTCATGGTCATTTCTGATAGAGGCACCTCTTGACCATCTTCACCTAACATGTCGCCTTCAAATCCATGAAAGTTGGTACCATAAGGATGTGTATACTTACAAGACTTTGCTTTTTGTGTATTCTTTACCCCAATTTCATTTAGTGCCTCTTGCATTTGGAATTTAACATCAAAAGGAACATTTGAGCACTTTCCAACTTCCCTCTTTACTCCCGTTAGATGTAGTTTCATACGATAAATACCTCCCCCTCTAATTACCTTTGAACAATATAGACATGTTAATGTCTTCCTTCCATTTTGATCAATGCCCTCAACAATATGTTCCCATGTTATATCATTCCTTCCTCGATAAGAATGTGAGGAAGCATCCATGAACAAAGAATGTTGCCCAGACCCAAATGATGACATTCTTGATTTTTGTCTCTTCCATGGCAACCAACAATAACAAAAATAAATGTTACCACTTATCTTATACTCTTTAAGCAATAAATTGGAAATTTGCAATTAAATTTGGCACACTGCATATATGGGAAATAGCACACTCCATTTTTGCACACTTCAATTCTCAAACACAACCATCTCGCACCAAACAATCACTTCTTCCATATCAAGTTTCAATCCCACTTTTTCAATATCAAACAATTTCTATCTCAAACACAAACAATCTCATAGCAAACAAAACACAACCAAATTCAATTTCATCAGTTCAACGCTCCATCTTTATGACTCTATCTATCCCCATGCAACAACAACAATGATAAGTTGATAACAATAACAAGAACAATGATAACAAGAACAATAACAGTAAAAAGTAAAAACTAAACTAAGCAACAATGAAACACAAACCTTGTCAGAGTTGCCGAAATCGAAGATTGAAGAAGAAGAAGTTGTCGAAGCCTTAGATTGAAGATCAAAAGATGTCGAAGGCTCGAAGATTGAAGATTGAAGATTGAAGAAGAAGTAACTGAAGATTGAAGATCGAAGTCTGAAGAAGCCAAATATTGAAGAAGATTGGAGATCACAAGACATCGAAGG